TGCCCCACGCTGGGATCCACTGATCTAGTCTCAGCCACCACCTCCTGCAGAGGCCGTTTCCCGGTCTCGCACCCACCTTCTGCGTTCCTATCTCCTCTGCAAGCGACCACCGATTCTCTCCACTTGTGCCTCCCACGGGATGACTTCCTGCCTCTTGAGCTCCTGGACAAAACACAGACCCAGCAAAGACGCTCGCAATTGCCCGCGGGGCTGTTTCCTCTAGCAGCAAATACTGTAATTCTGGTCTTCCGCGACTAGGTTTCAGGCTAGTGCAGCAGGGAGGGACAACCACCCACCCACCATAACATCCTACCAGTCCCCCGGCAGCAGTCTGTCAATCCTCAGGTGTATAAGCTTCCTGACTCTTTTCGGTAGGAGGTAGGATACACCGCAAGGCCCGCCGATAGGCGAGCGCGGTCACATGATCCACCGTCAGCCCATGTGACCACGCAGTCCCTGTCTGCTGCGGCCCCCTGCGGAACAGTAGAGCACAAGCTTCTGCCTCTGGGATTGAACTGCTGGCTATGGAACCTGAAGCTCCTGAGGACGGTGAAGATAGCTAGAGGGAGGCTGGATTTAGAGCCAAAGCTTCAAGCCCGAGGCCTAGTTCTTGTTCTATGGGAACCCAGGGATGGCGAGGAACACTGGATGAGGAGTTTAGAGACAAAGTGACTTAGCTTATTATTTCTAAAATTCAGGGTGACATGTGAAAACACACACAAGATCCGTCTTAAAAAGTATTGCAAGGCAAAAGAAACATTCAAACTCCAATTTCCACCATCAGGATGATCCCTTTTAACACTTATGATTTGTGAAGGAAGGCAAAACTGCCATTTTGCCCTATTTCCATAAACCAGTGATTTTCAACCAGTGTGCTGCAAGAATTTTTAAAACATGCAATAGCTGACTTTTTAGTGAGGGGCACTGACATCTTTCCCTTAGACTGTCAAATAAAATATTACATCAGCCAACACAACAATAGCTGTCCTGTGTGAATGAATCACAATTATACCTGTTTGTTGTTGTTTTTTGTCAAACTGTCAAAAAATAGTTTTTTTTGGTGTGCCACAAACTTTTAGTGATTATGTGTGCCGTGAGATGAAGTTTGAAAATTGCTCCCATAACTCTTGCATATTAGAAGGGGGGAGCACGTTGCACTGTCAGAAAAATTGTACAAAACTTGTGTAAAGAAAACATCGGTTACTGGACATCATTTCAGTGCAGGGCTGAGCATTTTCTATTGATTGAACAAGTTTTAAATTCTATGAGGCTGATTCTAACTTGTAGATATTTTGTCTGACATGGAAATGATTTCTGATTAGTGGAACAGATAACCTCAATGTCTAAAATTTATTGCCCTTATGATATTAGCCAGTTTTGTATTTAACCCAGCAATGATATACTAGCATTTATTGTCTATGTATGTATGAAATTTAACATATACTACATTTTGTTTTTATTATATTGAATACACTTACCTCCTTCAACAATTTTCATAATCTTAGCAGTTCATTGTGCTGAAAAATATTTCATGATCGTTTTTAATTTGAGTCATAATTTAACCTTTTCAAAAATTAACAGCATTCCAAGACAGGACAAAAATAACATTTCCACAATATCTAAAAATAATAAAACGTATTTCTCACAAGTCTGGATTCCGTCTCCAAACCATTTCTATTCCTGACTTCTGCAATTTCTATCTGAAAGTGAGAAGGCTAACCCCTATTTTGTAAAACTACTGTTTGGAAGTCTCTGCTATTCTTTAGATGGCCTCTTATTCTAAAAAATAACTTTGCTTTCTAGCCTGCGTTAGCCTGCTTGAATAATGAGGAAGATAAACTTAGCTGTCTGATCTTGTAGGCCAGAGACTAGAAACGCCCATACTCTCACTGCCATGCCAGGTGTATTTTTTAATTGGATAGAACTGTGTAGTTTTCAAGGCCACCAGCGAGATAATCACTAAGCACACATAGGGCTGGCTCTTTAATAAAAAGGGAAGTTCTGCTTGTAGCTTTGCTTAGAATTTGAATTCATTTTCTCTAAGCCCACCGCAGTGAATAAAGTGTGACTCCAAAATCTCTGAGCATTGCTTGATTTATTCCGGTTCTCTGTAACAAAAGTATGGTATAATCTTCTTAGTTATTGTTGTAGAAAATACACATAAAATAAAACCTATCATTTTTTTTGCTTATTTTTTAAATTTTTTTCTTTATTAAGGTATTACATATGTGTCCTTATTCCCTCAATGCCCCTCTACCCCCTCACTCATAAAAAAAATCTATCATTTTTAAGTGAACAATTCAATGGCATTAGGTACATTCACAATTGTTACTCCAAAAGGAAATGTTATCTTTTGAATGTAATAGTCATGTAAAAATGGTGCCATCTTTGTATAGCCAAGAGACTAATATAAACTTAGCAAACTTGATCATTTATTTTTCTTTAAAGCATTTAATTTAAAAAGCTAGTTTTTCTAAGTCTCATGGGAGTCCACTTTTCTTTCAAACTTTTCTAAGTGATTTTATCTCTAAACATTCCTTCTAACAGAAATAGTTTGTTTATTTATATAACTACTAGTGGCCCATTGCATGAATTCATGCATAGTGAAAGGAAAATAATTAGAAGAAATATTTTAATATCACTATTCACCCTTTCTCTATAATAGAAGTATTAACCAAATTCATGATCAACAATGACAGATCGAAACACAAGCATATGAATGGCACCAGCAAGAGCTTTATATGTATCGTGCATGCACGAGTCAACTTAGCCTTTTATATACATAGAATAAACTTTCTTAATTAGACCTTCTTTCCGATTTACCTAAACTTTTTCCAGCCCAGTGAAGCACCCTAACTTCTCTTTCAGCAGTGTTGAGATTGTCAGCGACACAGCAGTAAATATCAACATAAAGCAGATTATATGTACCTTGGTTTCGGGCACATCCCCAGTAGGGAGTGTGCAGGAGGCAGCTGATGGATGTTTCTCTCTCATGGATGTTTCTCTCTCATGGATGTTTCTAACTCTCTATCCCTCTCCCTTCCTCTCTGTAAAAAATCAATAAAATATATTAAAATTAAAATTAAAATTAAAATAAAAGTGTAAAATCTTTCCACCTGTGTTCCTGGGCTGGAGAAACTCCAAGGAGGCTAGTTGCTAGGGAGAAGAAGCCAGGCGTTGCTATGTGACATCATCACCAGGAGCCCACAGCAACCGGGTCACATTTGTGCCATGGGGTCTTGGCAGCATTGGCTGCAATTTGGTGAGGTGTCGTTCCAGGGTGGTGGTGGGGTCTGTGTCCCACTTGGGGGAAGCCGAGTGTTAGTTTGTCCATGCCAGGTCCATGGTGCTGGCCAGTGAGCATCATGGCAGCTCCTGCGTTGAGTGTCTGTCCTCTGGTGGTGAGAGAGCATCATAGCGACCGGTTGGATGGGCAGAGGGACACTTAGCATATTAGCCTTTTAAATATATAGATAGGCCCTGTGAAGTATTCCATACTCTGCATGCATTAGAAGGAAAGGAGTGAATTTATATGTGCTGCCTTGGAAAACTGCCAAGTAGGAAAGCAAGGTGGAGAATGCTATGTATGGGATGCTTCCATTTACACTAAGAATGTATATATATATATATATATGTATATATATAGATAGATAGATATGTCCCAACATGTCTACCTATAACTTGAGGCATTAGAAGCATATTAAATGGAAAAATAAGCCCTGTGCTACTAATTTTTCTATCTCCCTCATGTCTGTCTTTAAAATATTTTTTACTATGGCAGATTTTATTTGACTATGGAATATATGACATTTCTTAAAAAGTCATATTGAAATTGCAAAGTTGTTTATTCACACACAAGTTTTTAAAATGAGATATAGCCCTAGCTGGTTTGACTCAGTGGATAGAGCTTCAGCCTGGGGACTGAAGGGTCCCAGGTTTGATTCCTGGTCAAGGGCACATGCCTGGGTTGCAGGCTTGATCCCCAGTAGGGGGCATGTAGGAGGCAGCCGATCAATGATTCTCTCTCATTATTGAGATTTCTCTCTCTTTCTCCCTCTTCCTTCTCTTTAAAATCAATAAAAATATATTTAAAAAAATAAAATGAGATCTAGTATTCCATAGATCAGCAGTCGCCAACTGGTGGTCTGTGAGAAAACTTTGGTGGTCCACAGAAAAATTTGGACATTATTTGCATTTTTATGTTTTATTAATCCTAATAAATAATAAAACAAAAAATATTCTAAGAAATTCTTATATTCTGACTGGCAATTTTTGCCTTTACATTGCACTAAATTGTACTAGCTAGAGTCTAGTACATTTCATGAATTCCCCTTTCTAGTATCTAGAGAGGGGGAAACAAGAGGTACAAGTGGCTTCAGTACTGTTTTGGCCATTATAGCAGTCACCCGCTCCACAATTACCGATTCTCATCCAATTGTTTTATTTTATTTGTGTACTGTATGTAACTGTGTATTTCCTTTAACTCATATATAATGGCACAAATAGTTTGACTTCAATAACTATCATTTCTTGTTTGGTTTTAGATTCGAAATGAAATAAACCCATAATGAGTGGAAAAAAAAAGCAAAGGAATATTTTGCATTTCTTTAGTAATACAAAAGATAATGTAACTAATGATAATGGCTAGTGAGCGTCATGGCAGCTCCTGCGTTGAGTAACAATAGTAATATGTGTACTTCACTTAACCCTGAGCTGATCAATGAATCAGAGTCTCCACAGTCCTCGTCAGGTACCATTTGGAAGAACATTCAAGCTAGAGGTGGAGAGAAGAAAACACTGAAAGTATTAAGAAAATATGATTCAAACTACTTGAAATTTGGATTTGTTCAAGAACCTGGTGGTGAGCTGAATCCACGCTGCTTTGTGTTGTGTGTTCTGAGAGTTTACCCAATGATGCCATGAAACCTTCGAAACTCGAAAGACACTTGCAATCAAAACACCCGGATTTAGCTAAAAAACCACTTGAATATTTTCAAAGAATGCGTGAAAATATGCAAAAGCAAGTAATTGCTCTAACAAAAATGACTGTTGGAGCTAAATCCTTATTAAAGGCTTCTCATCTGATAGCACTTCAGGTCGAGAAAAGTAAAAAGCCGTATACGACTGGAGAAGAATCCATAAGCCTTGCATGTTACAAGCCTGGGAAGAGGTTTTGGGAAGGCAGGCTGTCCAGAAATTGAAAGCAATTCTTATGTCTGTTAACACTGTCAAATGCAGAATTGAAGACATGGCTGAAGATATTGAAAATCAAGTTATAAAAATGGTGAAAATTCACCATTTTATTCAATTCAACTTGACAAATCAATGGACATAAGTAACAAGGCACTTCTTTGTTTTGGGGAGGTGATGAAGGCTGGGGTTGGGGGGCAGGGGAAGGCTG